TTCATTTCTATTCAAATCAATTTGTATTGCACCAAATAACAACATGTCAACAAGCTACTCACATATGTGCCTGTGCAACAGAGGTTAGATTAAGATTCCTCTTTATGGTCCCACACACAGCATGCAACATGCAAACATGGGGAAATTTGACCTCTGTATTTAACCCATCCGTGTGAACGGAGCACACACGGAACACAATCCACACAGTCACCACACACGGACCAGTGGGCAGCCCAGGGAGCAATTGGGGGGTTCGGTGCCTTGCTCAAGGGCATCTTGGCAGTGCCCAGGAGGTGAACTGGCACCTCTCCAACTTCCGTCCATGCTGGACTTGAACCGGCCACCCTCCAGTTCCCAAGACAAGTCGCTATGGACTGAGCTACTGCCTCCCAGAGGGATGTGTTTGTGTGGCTGGGGATGCAGGTGTGAGTGTGTTATTGATTTCTGTGTTGACAATTAGAGAGAGACACGAGGAGAGAGAGAGAGAGAGAGAGAGAGAGAGAGAGAGAGTGAGAGAGAGAGAGAGAGAGAGAGAGCTCAGCTTCATCACATCATGACGAAGGTCACATTCCCCCACATGGTTCTGTTGATAATCTGGTTATGCAACACCTTTGATCTACAACCTCTGGATGATAACCTGCTGTATCCTCCCTTCACCTCTCATGCCATGACTGGGTTGTATACCAACAAAGAACACACCTGAAGCATTATGAGCTAGTTTAAATCAATCATCAGTGCAGAAAGAAGAAAAGGATTTCCTGCACTGCTGCAGAGGCAGCAGAGCCAGTTTAGTGTTTCTGAATAGTAATTATAAAACCAGATGAGAAGCCGAGCGTTACTCTCTCTGAGAATCACACCCTAAAAAACATTTTTTAAAGTTCAATCGAAAATTGAATGGTTTACTCCTTTGGATCATGTCCCACCCCACAACATTTAATAGAAGCTGGTTTAGTAGTTTTGGTGTAATCTCAAAATAACAAAACATAGATGAAAAGTAAAAATTAAGAAATTCACAATACATTAAACCGAGTTTGGTTGAAAAAGACATGAATTGAATCTCTTCCTCCACTTTCCTCTTCACCTTTAACTCTGCACCCTCTGTGAGGATTAACTGTACTGCTCTGTAGATTGGGATAAATTCCAGGAATATGGTCACTTTAATAACCTACTATCTGTGTGGGGGGGGAAACAAGCTGCAGCAATAGAATGAGCTTTTGAGTCAGACTGCCACCACAGACAGTGTTGGTCAAAAAGCTCTTAAAGTGAGCTAGGATTCATCTGAAAGCCTTTTCAAACACACAGTGTGGACGAAAGGAGAACCAACACAAAACCTATGCAACTCATTTTGGTGTTAGTTTGGTAGGTAGGCAGCATACAGTAGGTTAATCACGCCTTCATTTTGTTGTAAATAGCTGCCTGCTGTGGGAAACACTGATTAGAGCTAAAAGACTGAATCAAAACATTAAAGCTGAGGACGTTTGAAGTAAACTAATCAGAAAACAAGGCTGAAACACTGAGGACAACTGCAATGTTGAGTTTCAACCCTCAGTCCGTTTTTCACATTACTCATTGTTAACAGCTTTGAAAATATTGATCAATGCCCCAATCTAATGATCAGACAGACTCCAAACATCATTGATCAGTTTTCACGCAGTACTGCAGATGTGGGTAATTTGCCAGCAGAGTAAGCAGTGCAGTAAGAGTCCTGGCTGTGCCTTCGTTGGTCCCTCTTTCAGTCAGATTTATCCACTGTCGGATTTAGGATTTTCATAAATCAGGGTCCATAAAGGGGCCACATTTTTAGACAGAGAGGCTAATTATACGTCCAACATCCATGTACAATTCGTGATTCAATAAGGTGCCAATTTATAATTCCTTGTTTACTGTTAGCTGTATAGCTTTGAGCAAAGACACACACATCTTTTGAGTATATTTGGAAAATTGTTCCTTGTTCAAGCAAATTGTTGACGTCAAAAATGGTAAGGGAAAAATACTGGCAAGACAGGGGCACTTCAGGGACCACCGGCCCAACTCCTGGATCCGCCCCTGGATATATTAAAAATACTGTTTCCAAATATCTGATGTCTCCCTCATGTCTCTAAGTCCAGGTACTAATTTGTGGTTACAACCTTCCTTTGGACAATAACCAAACACAAATGACTGATGAATCATCTGTCCTGCAGAAAGAACACACACTCAAAATCTAAAGGAAAAATAGACCTACAGAGAAAATCTTTTAAAGCAGACACGTATTCCTGATTTCAATAAATTGAATATTATCTTGTGGATGTCCTTGTGAAAGTCAGGACAGTGTAGGTGATGAAGGACATCCTTTCACATCGGTGGATTCCAGCACCCACCACGGTGAAAGTGTGTAGGTGACTGAAGGCTGTTGCGTAACAGAGTTTCAATTTCCATTACAGCTGAGAGGAGTCAGAGCCAGCCCAGCTCTCTGTGAATAAGAGCATCACCTATATATGACTATAAATGTCTCCACATAGGCTTAATTTGGATCTACAGTCTGTGTGTGTTAGTGTGTGTGTGTCTGTGTGTGTGTGTGTGTGTGTGTGTGTGTGTGTGTGTGTGTGTGTGTGTGTGTGTCTCAGCCTTACATAAGCTCAGGCTGCTGGTTGGAGGATGCTGGGTCCACTGGGAACAGCATCCTGCATCCATTGATACAACAAAACCATCACGTGTGGTTGACGTCAAATGTGTGCAGTCACACACGCCCCTGAGGCACACCCAAACACAACTGCACCCCCGCTCAGCGAACACAGACACGATTAACACACACTATTGTCACGGTAAATACAGGCTGTCGTGTTCCCATAAGGACAGGGTGTGTATGTGATGCTGTGAGCATGTGACTTACAGGATCCTATCAGCTTTTACATACACCTATATTATTCATTATTATTACAAATATTGAATTTCTTTGTT